ATTTCTTTAAACACTGGCTCCCCACAGAGCTGTGTCCTGAGCCCCCTGCTGTTTACCCTGATGACCCACGACTATCATCCCAGGTTTAACACCAACCACATCATGAAATATGCAGACGACACAACAATTATGGAACTCATTCAGGACAACAATGAAGTGAACAACAGAAAAGAGGTACAACATCTTGTGGACTGGTGCAGAATAAACAACCTGCTCCTGAAGGTCGACAAGACAAAAGAGATCATTGTTGACTTCAGGAGGTCACAACCCAACCACACACCACTCCTCATCAACGACAGAGAGTGGAAATCGTCAGCAGCACTAAGTTCCTGGGGGTTCACATTACAAACAACCTTAGCTGGACACCTCATATCACTTCACTGGTGAAAAAGGCACAGCAGCGCCTGTACTTTCTGAGATGAATAAGAAGAGCTTCGCTCCCCCCTCCCATCCTCTACACTTTCTACAGAGGAACCACTGAGAGCCTGCTGACCAGCAGTATCTCTATCTGGTCTGGAAGCTGCAAGGCCTCAGACTGGAAGTCTCTGCAAAGAGAAGTAAAGACAGCGGAAAGGTTCATTGGAACTCCACTCCCCCCTATCCAGAACATTGCACACAGACGCTGCTTAGCCAGAGCAAACCAGATCCTCTCTGATTCCACCCATCCTCTCTATGGTCTGTTCATCCAGTTGCCATCTGGCAGGAGAGTCTGTAGCATCCGCTGCAGAACAGCCAGACTCAGCAATAGTTGTCTCCCACTGGCCATCAGATTGCTCAACAATCCCATCATGAAGACTGTCTGAAACTGTTTGAAAATAGTAATTATTATTTGTATATGATTTAATTATAGGGACACTTGTGTTTTTGTGTGCTCCAGCAGCCAAGCAAGGACATTTCATTGCCAATTTTACTTATGTTTCTGTGTGCAATGACAATAAGACAATATGTCTAAGTCTCTAAGTCTACTGTTTGTTCTTCAGTCTATTAAGATGTGTGTGTGTGTTTGTTTGTTTGTTTTCATGTGGCCTGACACAATATTAGTCGTTATCTTGGAGAAACAGAGCTAGCGGAATCCTGGACTGTGCGTCATGCAGTACACAGATTGTGCTGAGGGAGGCGCTATTCTACACACATGTACATTGTGATCAGTGTGGAAACAAGCCGAAATGAAAAGCCAACCTCTGAAAGTACTATTTAAAGGGATTAGAGTTTCTTCATCATTTCAGCTAGCATATTTGAAAAAAAAAAAAAATTAAAATAATGATTATCAGAAATTTGTGGTTTTTTGATTGTTTTTCTTTGTTTCTGCTTTGGCAATTTGTTCGTCTTGTAATTTCTCAAATACATTCTTTGTGTTTGTTTAGCAGAATAACTAGAAAGAGAACATTGAAAATGTAAAAAAGAAGAAATAACATAACTTCTATTGCTAGTTTTTATAAACATAAATATTAACTAAAACAAACAAAACAGCTAGTACTGAGATAATGAGACTGATCTAAAACAACAAAGAAATCTTTCTGTGCAATATTGATGTGTGTAAGGTTAGGTGAGCTTAGCAGAGGGAAGGAGTGTGACCTGTTGTTGAAGTTGGTGCAGTAAGTCAGGTCCTTGCAGCCTAGCTGGCATGGCTCTCTGACATCTGCCAGGCAGTTGATGAGCTCCATCTCCATTGGGTTGTACTCACACAGCTGATCAAAGTCTTGCCATGTCTGGCTGCCCCAGTGGGTGCTGATCTGGTGACACTTTTCCCTGTCACAGCAGAGCACAGAGTCCGTTACAACAAATTAGCAGAAAGCATGATGTACCGCTTTCCATGGCACCTTACCTGCAGACTGACGTGTTTGCCTTTGAGCAACAGTGCAGCTTGGCGCAGTCCATCTTGGCTGGATGGGGGGTCTCCTCCTCGGGTGGGGAAGGAGGGTGAGCTCTGCTCAGAAAACACTGCCACATTGGATCCTGAGGGAGGGGCTGGGTGCCACACTCCTTAATGAGGCCCTCCATGATCTCTTGGTCTGTATTCATGGTGCGGAGGAGATGGCGGCAGGCCGTCTGGCAGTTTGGGGCTTCAGCCCGGTCGCAGCAGTACAAACCTGGAGGAGATCATGGCAGAGACTCAGCAGTATCTGGGTGACTGACATGGTTGCATATACATGACAGATATGCACTCCATCAGGAGTTTGTGACTGAATTTCCATTTGCAGTTTTTGCAGTCAATTTCAGTTTTATTAAAAAAAAAAAAAGTTACAAGAACAAAATTTAAGATATAGCTGTAAAGCTGTTTTGCCATCTCCACTCAGTGTGACTCTGTGTGAGTGACAGAGGAGTCATTATCACACACTAGTATTGTCCGAATTCCGGGACATCATTCGAATACTGAATTTGTGGGCTGCTTAAATCATTATGCTGCAACAAGGCCTGTCTGAGTTCAAAGACTCCTCCAAATGCAGCCTTCAAATGCGTCCTTCTTTTCCCCAGATTTGAAGGATGGGTCAAGTGTATCCTTCATGGCCCACCATATCCCACAATTCACTGCAGGTCCAAAACGAGCGTTCAGGCAAAGCATCAATGGCCGTGGTGAACGGATAATTATTTTGCTATATTACACTTTAAGCGACACAACAGGTAACACTGAACTTGGTTCTATGATGAGAGAATATGAAGCTATGCAGCTCTTCAGGTCTGTTGGATGAAGATGGACATACTATCTATGGGGCTGCGAGCAGGGTAGGACTCGGTGAAGTTGTTGACGCATTCGACGAGCTTAGGGCTGTGACTCTTGCAGAAGTCTTTGACGGTCTTGATCTGGGATTCTGTTGGCGTCGAGTCCGTCCTGAATATGGCATCGCAGAAGTCCCTGCAGTTGGTGTGACGGCCCACAAAACCACAGCATGCTGAGCCCACTGAAAGACAAACCCAAGGGATTCTTTGAGAAAATCGATAAAAGCATTTTCTGTAATTCCAATTTCATCATTCTACAAACTGGATTCCAAAAAAGTTGGGACACTAAACAAATTGTGAATAAAAACTGAATGCAATGATGTGGAGATGGCGAATGTCAATATTTTATTGATAATAGAACATAGATGGCAGATCAAAAGTTTAATCTGAGTAAGTGTAACATTTTAAAGGAAAAATATGTTGATTCAAAATTTCACAGTGTCTACAAATCCAAAAAGGTTAGGACAAGTAGCAATAAGTGGCTAGGAAAAGGAAATTGAACATATAACAAACAGCTGGAAGACCAATTAACACTAATTAGGTCAATTGACAACATGATTGGGTATAAAAAGAGCTTCTTAGAGTGTCAGTGTCTCTCTGAAGCCAAGATGGTAAGAAGATCACCAATTCCACCATTGTTGCGCAGAAAGATAGTGCAGCAATACCAAAATGGTGTTACCCAGAGTAAAATAGCAAAGACTTTTAAGTTATCATCATCATCAACCGTGCATAACATCATCAAAAGATTCAGAGAATTTGGCACAATCGCTGTGCGTAAGGGTCAAGGCCGTAAAACTCTACTGGATGCTCATGATCTCCGGGCCCTTAAACGTCACTGCACCTCAAAGAGGAATGTCACTGTCAAAGAAATAACAGCATGGGCTCAGGAATACTTCCAGAAAGCATCGCCAGTGAATACAATCCACTGTGCCATCCGCCGCTGCCAGCTGAAACTCTACAGTGCAAAGAGGAAGCCATTTCTAAGCAGCTCCACAAGCTCAGTCGTTTGCACTGGGCCAGGAGTCATTTAAAATGGAGTGAGGCAAAATGGACTGTTCTGTGGTCAGATGAGTCACGATTTGAAGTTCTTTATGGAACACTGGGACGCCATGCCATCCGGACCAGAGAGGACAAGGATAACCCAAGTTGTTATCAACGCTCCGTTCAGAAGCCTGCATCACTGATGGTATGGGGTTGCATGAGTGCTTGTGGCCTGGGCAGTTTGCATATCTGGAAAGGCACCATTAATGCAGAGAACTATGTTCAGGTTCTACAACAACATATGCTCCCATCTAGACTTCATCTCTTTCAGGAAAGACCCTGCATTTTTCAACAAGATAATGCCAGACCACATTCTGCAGCAATCACAACATCATGGCTACGTAGGAGAAGGATCCAGGTACTGAAATGGCCAGGCTGCAGTCCAGATCTTCCATCTATAGAGAACATTTGGCGCATCATAAAGAGGAAGATGCGACAAAGAAGGCCCAAGACGATTGAACAGTTAGAGGCCTGTATTAGACATGAATGGAGAGCATTCCTATTTCTAAACTTGAGAAACTGGTCTCCTCTGTCCCCAGACGTCTGTTGAGTGTTGTAAGAACAAGGGGAGATGCCACACAGTGGTAAAAATGGCCTTGTCCCAACTTTTTTGGGATTTGTTGACGTTATGAAATTTTGAAACAACATATTTTTCCCTTAAAATGATACATTCTCTCAGTTTAAACTTTTCATCTGTGATTTGTGTTCTACTGTGAATAGAAGATTAGATGGTGGCCCCTCCACATCATTGCATTCAGTTTTTATTCACAATTTGTTTAATGTCCCAACTTTTTTGGAATCCGGTTTGTATCATAGACTGTGAAGTATTTTCTGGTGATTTAAGAGCCAGGTCCAAGAATACTAGAAACAGGAAAAGATTATGTCCTTAGTGTTTGTGTTTTTCACTCTTTATTTGGTCATTATTTAGTGCATGAGACTACAAACTTACTTTCATTTTTGGTGATGCAGCTGTAGAGAGAGTTCTAAAAAGAGAGAAGGGAAAAACATAGCAAGATAATTGCCGCTGACATTCAGATGACTCAAATAATAATCATCACAGATGCACTAAGAAGTTGTCAGTTGAGACGAGTCAGCCGATTTAAAGCTTGACTAATCCTGACTGGCGTCCAGGTGGTGGAAAAGTAAAAAATCTAATCAGAATAGCTGATTAAATAGCTCACTGTAATGGATAGTGAGCTATTCAAAATAAATTGCCCAAATTATTCAAATTTGTAGACTATTTAAATGAAATTATTCAAAGTGAATTTTCTACATTAAAAATGTTGCAGATTGTTTATGGATGTTTGTCTGTTTTGATTAGCACTGTTGATGGTTTGTATTTTGTTGTGTTTAATTGTACTTTGTTTAATGCACTTTTGTTTTGTTTGTATGTACCTCACGGGCTGCCGTAGCTAATGAGGGCAGGCCCTACAAAAGCTAGCAGAATCATTGTAATGAATGACTTGAACTGTCAAGATGCATTTGGCATAACAACACTTAGTATTCCCCAGTGAAAGAAGCGAGGTACGTTTTATTTTGTTGTTTGTATTGTAAATTTCTGTTTTCTATTCTAATATTTGTATATGTTTTTAGTTTTCAGGGTGACTGAGGTGACTGAAATAACTGAGGGTGTGGTGACTGTGATGATCCACATCAAAGAAAAATAAACAAAACCTTGAAATCACTCGTTGAGACTGCGCAAATTAATTCAAGTGCTGGGGAACTGGTACCTCAGTCAATGCACCAAATTTGAATGATGAAGGTTTTTATTTTTTATAAAACAAATATGTTAATGTAATGTTGAAAAAGTACAACAGACTTTGATCAATAGCTGAAAAAACAATAATGTTTTCAGTCTTGATTCTAAAGAACCAAATGTTTGTGCACCTCTCAAGCTTCTGTGGAATTTGTTCTGGAATACATAGAAAATAATTTTGCCACAACTTTGTTCTGCTCCTATGCGTAAGCTGGTTTCTAAAGACCTGTGGAATCTGAATGCTTTGTATTTGACAAGTATAACTCAGAGATCTGTTCTTTACAGCATTATGACTAAATCAAAAAACATCTTACACTGCAGCTGTATAAAGCAATAAAAGTTTGCGATAGAGATGAAAATGAATGCTGTTCTAGTTAATATGAGTCTCTGTTTTAAGGTGTAGCCTAGAAAAAGATGTTTCTGGTAACTGTGTGATAGGTCTTTGTGTTTTTTTAGGTCAACGGTTTTCAGTTTGTAAATCTCTGATGGATTTTTCTTCTTAATCACATTTAGCATGTTTAATAATACACACTGATCCCAATCAAGATTTTAAGTACTTTGAATGTTGTTAAGGGTTCTTTTATGCCCTACTGGATGAGTCCGTGTATATTTTAGAGTAACATTAGTACAGATACTTTTGGGAAGGTTTGCCACTGTTCTGAGTCTTCTTCTTAGTTGGTTTTCCAGAGTCCCATTCAGACTCTTATGTCAGTGTCAGCTGTTCCTGAATTTGTTCCTGAAATGTCCCTGGATTTCTTTAGATTAGGTTATGATGTGTTGGTTTATGTTTTCCTGTACTTGTCAATAGGCAAATTTCATCTGATGTGTATGCAACAAGTGATACTGATTCCTAAAAATACGTGCTCAATCATAGGTAATTAATAATTTAAACAGGAAGTAATAACTTTTCAAAGATTGATTTGGATAACTTTCATCTGCTTCTATATCTACTCTCATTAAATAAAAAATATTTTTTCTCAGATTCTTACTGACTGATTTCAACCAACTACACTGATGCTCGCCTCTTTCAGAGATCTGAATCAGAGTCTGGAATGTGTGGATTGCAGGAGGCTTCTCCTTACCTCGGTGACTTTTTTGCATACTTTTGTTATGTCATTTTTAGATGATGCCTAAAAGAAGAACACAAATTTATCTATTTATACAATTTTGTGCTGAATTACATTTAGAGACAAAGAAAAGGTTAAATAAAGTCAACAGAAAAACACATCATATGATGAGAAACGTTTTCAGTTTCTTATCAGGATCTGACCTGTTTGCATTCTCTACGACACTCTCCTGCGATGGCCAGCTCACAACAACCAAGCCCAACCCAACCATCAGACTTCTTGGAAACACCTGGAAGCAAATCAATCAGCACTGCATTAACCAACTCTGCAAAATTCTTCAACAAAGACTGAAGCTATTTATCAATAAGAGTCATTAATAAGCTTTGCATCTGTTCTGCTTTTTGCTTTTTAAATGTAAGTCAAAGTATCAAAGAGATGTTTGTGAGAGCTATGGTGGAGATGTGAGAGATGTCATTAAGTGAAGCTGGCACATTGAGGAGTCTGAACAGAAACTGCTGCTCATCTGCAGTGTAAGAGAATCGATCATATCTCAGAATGAGGAAAGCTTTTGCACATTCCTGAAACCGCCTGGAGGCCAAGTGTTCCACAGGTACAGAAGGAAAGAATAAAGGCTTTCCAATCTGGAAGCCATTAGGACTCTGGATGATTTTTTCCCTGATGTGTGGGCAGCAAAATTCAGACTTTTGATGTCTCGTCTGTTTTTTTGCTCAGCGGTTCCTGGGTCTGGCTACAGCCCCACCAGCTACCATTCAGTGTAATGCAAGCAGACTGAGGTTACCTACATGTAATGATTCATAAAGTCAAAGCTTTACAGATTGTAAATAAGTATTTAATCAAAACAAACATGGTTGGAATGGTAATTGCAACGTTCAAATGATATTTGAACAAAGAGCAGAATACATCAGGTTAGTGTTTTATCACTAACCTGGATGGATGTGATAAAGCATCTTTATCCATCCATCCATTCATTCTTTATCCAACATGCTCATCCTTGTGGGGTCAGTGAGGTTTGCTGGTTCTCGGCTTTGATGAAGCTGTATTAATCAGGGAATCTATTTAGCACACTGCTTATGTCACACTTCCATGTCTTGGCTGATGAGGGAAACCTGATCCTGTTGATTCTATCACAGGTTTTTTGGTTGTCCTGGTGATACCTTGCTGGTTGGATGTGATTTAAACAATCTTAATGGAAGGTGCTCTGTCACACCCAGCTTCACATAAAACAGGTTACAGAATGCAAAAAAAAAATAACAAAAAAAAAAAAAAAAAACATTTCACACAACGCATAATCAGTCCCTACTGACTTCTCCAGTAAAATTCCTGATGGATTCTATGGTTTGAGTTTCCTGAGTCTTCAGAAAGAGCAGATCACTGAGTGCAAGCTTCCAGGGAGGAGATGAGTGACGCCTTCAGCAGTTACATGTAGACTGGGGTTAGCATAACATAGAAGCTATATCACCTTATCAAAGCCAATAAGAAACAGATTCTAGTACTTTTAAAACACATTGTGTAGACTATCAGCTCTGTGAGCCGTGCAGAGTCTGTGTGCATTCTATAGTAATGTACGGATTTCCGACATCTCAATTTCAGTCAAGGTGTTGACAGATGAGGGCGTAAGCTTTTCAAATCTTTTCAGCTTTGAAAAACAAATAGGTGGTACATAAGGCTAATAAAACAGACTGGTGATGAAAACAGCAAACCTAACAGATTTTGCATGTCTGTCCAATACCTGACTGCAGTGTGAGCTGGAGGTGCTGGATGATCTGAAACATCCTGGCTCAGAGGTGTCTTGTTGTGTTTAGTAAGTGTGGCAGACAGAAGCCAGCTCTAGATTTTCTTTCTCCATGAACTGTCTGATCACAGGACACCGGACATTGTGGTCAGTGAGGTAAAACCCAGTTACAATGCATTCTAGTCTGTAGATGTCTGTTACAGGTACTGACTTCTCCAGACCTTTTACATGTGCTGAGGACAAACCTGCTATTTCTGAAAATCACACGGCATCAATGGATCTACTAACTCTGGGATTTGATGGCAATCCCAGCTGAGATGTTTGGTAGGACTCTGGTTGTGCTCTACCAGGCCAGCAGATGGACAGGAGAACTGGACAGAACCAGAGAATGGGTAATTTCTTTGTCTGCATGTGTCCTCGATTCACCCAATAACTCTTTAGACAGTGCTGGGAGACCCAGCACACATTCTGACATTGGATGTTTTGAGGTGCCAACTTGGAGGTTTGACTACCTGTGTCTGTATGCTTCAGGAACCACCTCATTTTTAGGTCTGTTTTAACTTATTTATAATTTTCATGTATTCTCTTAATAAACAGCCATTTGGGACATAATGCTTTATAAAATATGTCAATAACAATCTAACACAATTATAATCCATCTCTTTGTTGTTCCTGTCAGTGTCTGTCAGTAGTCTTGCCTTACCTGGGAGTGTAGAGTTGATGCACATCCAGAGCTCATTCTGTAAAAACAAAGTGAATGTTAGCTTTTCTTTCTAATTGCTCTTG